AAGGATCAATGGAGTAGAAGAAGGTGAAGAGGGAGGAAGGAGGGGCAGGAAATGGAAAGACATGCAGAATCAGTTTAATAAACCATGCCAGGTGCACGTTCAAATACAGCACGTGATCCCACTTTATGTGTACATGGAAAGGACCCCCCAAAACATACAAATAAGTGAGTGAAAGGAAGACTGTGGGGAGGAGCACGGGAGAGGGCGGAGGGCAGGGAAAGTGGGGAGGACTGGGGCTGACGTGGCCCATGGAGCTCCTGGTGGACTTGGTGCCATCAAAAGAACTGGCCGCTGTGTGGAGCGATGATGCTCTGATGAAGGTCAATACCCTTCTTAGAAAAATGATCAATGAAAACAGACTAAATTATCAACGTCAAGAATGATCCTGCAGGTGTTAAGATACTAAGAATGGAATATTACAAGTGACTTTGTGGTCACAATTCTAATAACTTGGAAGAAATGAGCAAAAGCTTTCGAAAGTCTTAGGTTCCCAAATCTATCTGCAAGACTCCCCGCTGTAGAAAGCAGAATCATTGTGAATGTAAAAGAATTTGAATTTGTACTTAAAAATGTCGTCAAAAAGCCAGTCCAAGGCCAGGTATCTTCTTTCACTAGTGAACCACCAAGTGTTCAGAGAAACAGCGTTTCTAGGTCTACACATGCTCATCTAGGAAGTAAAAGACAATACCAAATTCATTATTTAAAAAAGGAAAATATTTCTCAAAGATACTGTCTCAAAATCCTTCACAGAGCACTAGTCGATAGAATCTCTGATGCGTGGAAAGTGTGGCACATCACGTCAAGGGTTTCACCTAAGGAATTGTGCAACGTTGGTAACACCACAGTGTCACTTCTCACAGCAACAGATGAAAAGGATAAGTGTGTGATCGTTGCAAGCGGTGAAAAACACTAGTGTTAATAAGATTGGTAACCCAATAGTGACGGGCACACTCGACCCACTAGGAACAGAACAGAGCTTCCTGACTACAGAGAACCTCTATCTGAAATACACTTTCCTTGTGCTGTGGAGGTTAAGGCCAGAGGCTTCCTACTAGATCAGGGAATGGGTTCGGGTGTAGCCACCACTGCCTGGCATTGCCGCTGAGGTCCCCACCCAGATGCTTAGGAAAAGAGAAGTAAAGGCCAGATTTCATGATTATCTTTGTAGAAAATCACAGAATTTCTAAAAAGCTGTGGGAACCAACAAGTGACACTTCCTAGTGATTAACAAAGTGATGTTAAAGTACCTGGGAGGGACAGTGCCTGCCGAACGAAGCCTGTTGCTGGAGCAAGTCAGAAGACTCCCCTGGCTGCTTCCAAGTGACTGAGAAGCCCCGGTGACCAGGACAGCGTGGCCTTGGTGAGCAGACGGGCAGC